TCCAAGGTCAGGATGTCACAGGGCTGTGCTCCCCGCAGAGGCTCCCGGGGAGGGTCCTCCCCCCCTCTTCCAGCTCCTGGGGGCCCCAGGCCTCCCTTGGCTTATGGCTGCGTCCCTCCAGTTTCTGCCTCTGTCATCAGTGGCTTCTCCTGTATCTCATAAGGAGACTTGTCACTGGATTTAGGGCTCACTGAGAAAACTGAGGATGGTCTCTTTCTGAAACTCTTATTCACATCTGCAAAGACTTTTTTCCAAATTAGGTCCCATTCCCCAGTTCTGGGTGTCAGGACGTGGAGAGGTCTTCTTGGGGGCTACCATTCAACCCACTACACTGGGGTTACGGGTTTGGGGCGAACACACTAAGGTGCGGTGTCCTTCTCATCACTTCCACCGGCGGGGCCCTGACACCCCCCAGGACATCACCCTGAGGCTGCCGTCGACCACCTAGCTAAGGTGGCATCTGCTAGGTTTCCTTCCCCAACATCAGGTTCCAGTCTACTCCTTACACACAAGTTCCCCACATCCAGGCCACCCAGGAGGGAGCTGGGAATTCGGTCCAGCCAGGCAGAATGAGACACATCATTAGGAATTCTCCCATAAGGAAGTTCCGTCCCCTCCCCACTCCCGTACGTGTTTTATCAGCGAGGCTGAGGGATGTTTATGCTCTGGGTTCTGTCCCCAGCTTTGTTTTAACACAGCCCGTCTATGGGACAAGCCCCGGGCCACTGGGATAAGCGGTTCGTTGGGTCACTGGATTCCATCCTCCCAGCCGCCTGGGGGAGGTGGTGTCTGAGTGGTCGGTCCTGAGTCACCGCAGAGAAACTGAGGCACCTCAGAGCCCAGGGTCACCCACTGGGCAGTCAGCTACCTGACCTCTGCAGGCAAAACCTCAACAACACGTATGAAATAACCACCCAAAGGCTGAAAAGAAGACAATGAACTAGAACCTCTGACAGGGAGGTCCACAGAGCAGGAATATGGGACAAGAAAGACACAGGGCGGCCCATCAACCAGCAGCCTGCTCCCGGCAGGAGGCCCTGGGGACCCAGTCGCAGGCCTGGGACCTTCCTCGGACAGGAATCCAGACCAAGCTGTACATAAATAACCAAGAAAGGCCAGAACGAAGCCTCTTGAAGGCACAAGTTAAAGGCTACATGTCCGAAAGGTGGGGAGGACGCTCACTGCAGGCTGAGGGACACTCCAGGCAGACTGACAAGAACCCCCCACCAGCCCCCTCCCTTGACAGAACCTTCCCCAGCACCCCCAGCGAGCAGGGTCAGAGGGACCAGCAGTGGGCACGGTGGGGTCTGACAGCCCCACCCCACCCGGGAGTCTGGAGGCTGCACCCTGGAGACTAGCAGAGGGATGGGGCCCGGACCAAGAACACCCTTCTTTGAAGAGGAGCTGGGGGGTCAGGGAGGGGGGATGTAACAGAGCTTGGGGGGTCACTGGGGGTTCTGGGTTCACAAGGTGGGAGTCAGGTGGGGCTCTGGGGGTCACAGTCCCAGAAAGATGGGGCACTCGAGGGAGGAGGGCACTGGGGCAGGATGGCAGAGCCCAGGGTGGAGGAAGCGGAGGGAGACAGCAGTGTCTGGGGGTCCTGTGGCTGGCCAGACTGAACTTTGCAGGGCCTGGAGAGCCCAGCAGGGCTGGAGGGGTCACAGGGATGCTGGAGGTGGAAGGTCACTGGGTTCAGGAGATCCTGGCCAAGGTGGCAGGGTCAGGGGTCACAGAGCCAGGGGTCTCCAATGGGGGCGAAGGGGTAGGGGGTGCAGGACCAGGATTTGGCTAATATCTGGGGTACCAGGTGGATGGGAACCTGGCAGGGTCGCAAGGCCCAGGGCTGGTGGGGCCCCGGGATGGTGGGTCCTGAGAAAAGCAGGGTCCCAGGGACAGCGGGTCCCAGGTCCAGGGGATGGCGTGCCCGGGGGTGGCAGGGTCCCGGGGAGGTCCCAGGTCCGGGGATGGCGGCTCCCGGGTCCCGGGACGGCGGCCCACCTGTGCGCCGGGATGCGCTGCGCGCCGAGCCCCTTGCCCACCAGGAAGTGCACGTCGCAGAGCACCTCGTTGTTGAAGAGGAAGGCGAAGCGCTCCTTCACCGTGGGCTTGGTGGCCTGCCAGTTGTAGACCGGCTCGCGCAGCAGCGCCGCCGCCCCGGCTCCTC